ACCTGGCACTTGGCCTTGTTGAACCTCGTGCAACCAAATGAAGCAACATTTGGTGATTGCTGATTCACATACAACTGTTGCCTTTTACTAACTATTGATGAAAATGATCAAATGTCAGAGATCCCAGCTTTTCACTTGAAGTCCTCTTTATTCTTGGGGTAATGAAACCTGAAGAAAAAGCAAAGGTAGCTGTGAAAGGCAAAATAAACATGCAATTTTTTTAATCACTTCTGAAATTGAGTTCAAGTGAATAATTCTGTGTAGTTGTTAAAGGAGTAATATTGGGGATTTTTACTTCTACTAAAAGAAGCGTGAGTTTTGATTTTCATATAATTTGTAATACAATTTTGTTGATTAAGGCTTATAATCACTAAATCGTGCATGTAAATGTTGCTGAATATGAAACATTGTCTTTAACAATTTCTAAACAGTGGAAGGATTTGTTGGTTATATTTCAGAAATGATAAACAGTCAATAGCATTTTCCAGGCTATTATACTTTTTACAGAGGAAATGATATGATGATTATCCCTGCAGTGGTAACATACGGATCTCTACCAGAGCTCTCAACTTAAAGTAACGTAGGCTTCAAAATTAATAGGTGCTTATGGCAAATGCTAGTCTGAATGATTTGAAGAGAAAACATAATGTCCAGAATTTAATTAAAACATGTATTAAAATGAAGCAACCCTTAGTAAAGTTCAATCCTGCAACCAGAAGATTTTATAGGAAGCAACTGGAAACCCTCGGGATGTACATCCTGGCCCTGGGAGAAGAGATATTTTCCCGCTACCCTGGATGCAATTGCTGTAGGATTTCATGGGTGTGCTTCTACCTTCATGTGGTATCACCAGCTTATCCCTATTTTATCAACTCACTGCCACCACCATTTTTATGGTCACTAAATCCTATATGCACTTGTTCCCAAACCCATTCAAATTAAATGAAGAACAAAGCTTAATATTTTGCTGTGTTTTCTGTTGTGAGGAAAACAATGTTCCAATTTGCACTCTAATTATTTCAACCTTGCAAAGGAGAAGGAAGGTAGGTGGTGCCAAGGTCCTGAATGTGGTTGTTCTGCAATTAAATGGTGAGCCTGAATAAGAGAGAGACCCTGACTCCTTTTCCTCAAATGAGTTACATAACAATACATATCTAAGAACCCAGTAAATAACATAAGCTTGGCACAATTCCCGTTGGCATCATGTAGGTCTGGGGTTAGCTCAGTTGGGTTTAAATAAAGCCCTGTAGCTCCATTTAATAATGAAAAATAGTATCTGTTATATTTTAAATATGTTATTTGTAATGCCTAGTAGTCGTACTGCTATCTGTCTGTAAATGTGTGTGTCTCGCAGTATAAAGGTGGACCTTATTTAATTTTCTGCCTTGTTACAGCTGTTACAACTCCTGCTACCGTTTCCATTTCCAATGGAGTCATTAAGGCACCTTTTCAGAATCGTTATGATTACTATACATTTTCATTTTTCAACAGTGTTAACTCATTTCTTTGGAAACAGTAGCAGAATCCTTCTTCTGAAGAAATTCTTACCTAGTTTTTAAAAACATATACAGTTGTTTTCATATAAGTAGGTTTCTGTAGCCAGGATCTGGAAATGTATGTGGGTTTTTTGCAGTGTGTTTACAAATATCTCCCCATATCCATGCAGCTGACATTATTTTATCTTTGGCAAATGGGGATATAAAAGACAAAATTAGAGTTATATATAAAGCTGGAGTGTCTAGCATAGGAGCAGAATACAGAGACTTGTAAAATATTTGCTGAGAACTAATTAGAACATGTGCTGCTTCTATGATTGCTTTGCACCAGGCCTCTGCATTTGGAGAGTTAAAAATGACAAATGTTTAGATTAAGGCTGAGAGAACTTTTTTCCTGCCCTGAGATATTTCTGTTTTTTAAGAACAGTAGGCTTGGATGTCTGCAAATGCTGTATTGTTTATAATCAAACAGTGAATCAATAAAATAATAAACACAAAACACTGAAGTTACGGTTTCTGTTGATGGATTATGCATCTGAGGAAAACTTTTATTAAGAAACTATGAAGGCCACTGTTACAGAACACAACAAATAGTATTTTTCCATTAGACTTCCCACATTTACACTGTTATTTTTCATATTCAATTAAAATAAAACTGAAATCCACAGTATCATTTTAGATGAATGTTTCGTTTTGAAGTTGCAGGGAAATTAGGATAATTTTTTTTCAAAGGTATGTGTGACAACGTTGAGATACAAACTCAGTGATCAGTGCTCATGATGAAAGCTGAACAAACTGCTTCACTTCAGCCTTCTCTTAATCTTATGCTTTGTTTCCTATGCAACAGTTCATAAACATTGTGGAGCCTGCTTTTATGGATACGCAAAGTACTAGTCTTCTTCAGAGTCTGATTCTCAGGGTAAAATCCATTCCTTCTTCTATAGCCCAAATATTTGAGCTCATTGAGAGTGAAGAAAGGCTGGAAAAGAACACATCTTTTGTCTGTCTTGGGGAACCACACCGCCACTTGAGTGAGGGGTTGGAGCAAGCAAACGTCCAAGCGAATACTTAATGTATTTTCCCAGTGCCTCATAATTACTAAAACAACTGTGCTGATCCTGTAAAGACATTCGTAGGATTGATTACAATTGTTAAGTGTGGGATTCATCTGCCTAAATATCAATGTATATAGCTGAGCTCAACTTCAGCTCCCATTATAATAAAGGGAAACCTATGTGGTGGTAGTTGAGGGAATAACCTAAAAAGCCTGTATTTATACTCTAAGTGTACCTAATCCCCACCCTTCCCACACACGTACCCTTCCCATTTTTTCTTTCTCACACTTAAGAGGAATTATGAACTCCAGCACTTTTATAAAGTCACTGTCTACTCTCTTCTCTAAAAATAAACAATGTATTCTAGTAGAAAAAGAGAGAGAGGAGCCAGGCTTGAATTAGAGGTCATAGATTCAGAGTTAATTTAGAATTTAGCAGTTGACTCAGATATGATTGGCAAGGAGATTTCCAAAAGGCTGCAACTGTAAATTGGAAATAAATGGAAAAGGATTATGTGAGTGGGAGACAGCTTTGAATCTATAACGCGTGTCCCAAGACTGACTTGCTCATAAAAGAGCATGTGTTTAATTTGTCATAAAAATATTTAAGCCACATTGGTTTTTGTATAAATATTTCATTTTTAATGTTGGATTCTGGAGTGGCTAAAAATGAATTCAGTGTGCATATTCTCGCCATCAGTATGAAGGATAAAAAAAAAAGATCACCAGAAACTGGGGGGTTTTTCCCCTTCCAGACTCATATTCTCACAAGATTTTTTATGTTGTCTTTTGTGTCCAAATCAATTTTTTTAGTCCTTGCTGTATCATCTGTTTTGTTATATAGTATTCCTCTGAGAGAAGCTACGGATCTATTATATTAGGAGGCAGTTTGGAGGCAGAGTGAGTTGCTGCCAGGGAGGCATTCATGTATGAGTGTGTGAATGTGGGTGGGCGACTGAGGTGTCCAAAAGGGACACTTGTCTGTGTTCCTTCAACTACTTCTGTTCCAAAGATGATATATGTCTGTAAATAAAGCAAGATACATTTTGAACGTGCCCATGTTCTGCATCATTAGTTTTTTCACTGTTGGGAAACTAAACTGCAAGAATCTGAACATCTGCTACCACCTGGCAGCTCAAGTGGCTCAAGGAAGGAGTGACAGCAGTTAGAAAAGACCACCTCTAAAATATTATCTGTTTTTCTTTCTGCTATTTTCTTTAACTAAATACAGTCTTCTTAATTTAGCTCAAAAATAATTTAGCTCAACACTGATGTTAGTACAATATCTAGGGAATAGCCTCTAGGGCTTTAAGAAACCATTTAGTAACGACAGAGGAAGAGGGAAGTACGTGACCAGAGCTGCGCTCACCGCATCGCGCTGTACGAGCACGAGGCTAATGGCCCTTTTGGATGTATTATAAACTGATGCCTGAGTCTGTACTTCCCCCATCTATAACAGCATGTGAAATACAAATGAGTGCTAACTTCTCTAGTGTCACTCTAGCGCATAAGACTTAGACCTCCCTGGTTATGATTGTTTTATTCTATTCCTCACAGGTGAAATCTGTGCTTTTAAAATCCATGGACAAGAAATGCCCTTCGAAGCTGTTGTGCTAAACAAGACATCTGGAGAAGGTCGTCTTCGAGCAAAAAGTCCTATTGACTGTGAACTGCAGAAGGAATACACATTCATCATCCAGGCCTATGATTGTGGATCAGGGCCAGGTGGAACAAACTGGAAGAAATCTCACAAGTGGGTGAAAATGAGGAGAAGTTTTTTTTTTGCTTTGGCATACATTTGCTCTACAGTACAGATCATATTCAAGGGCTCCTTTTTATATTGTAGTCAGGTGGAAAGCAAATAAAACCAAGATGAACCGTTTTTGCAATAGTCCATCCACTTTTTATTCCTTTTTCCTTTTAGAAAATATTTTTCTTTTTTGCCTCCTGCAGTTTGACCCGTTCTGCAATGGTTCTAGTTGAAGCTTTTAATAGGATCCCTGTTCAAGTGGAGAAATGTATCTCAGTTTTAGTTTATTTTTTGATTCTTGCTTTCACGTTAAATACATTTACTAAACAGATCATCCAGGACATGGAAGCTAGCTTTTAATTGATACTTACAAATTCTAAGTAGGTTTTCTCTCTGTTGATCTCATTTCAAATGGTAAGAAAAGAGAAATTGCCCTTTTTTTTAGTATGTGCATATATATAAGCTGCAGCAGTGTTGCCTTTGTACAGTGTGTTTCTGACCTCTGCTTTTGGACAGCAAGTCTCAGAGGAATTACAGTCCTCTGGAAGAGAGGGGTATTGAAGGTTAGTATGTGGTACTTTTTACTGTGGAGCCAATTCTCTGCATAAGCTTAAGTAGCACAGTGCCTTTTTTCCCCTTCAATTTATGAAACTAAGCTCCAGACCATTTGTCATTAAAGATGAATTTAACTCACGTGTAGATGTATAACTGCTGTACAAATTGTTTGTTTTGCTGAGAGCCATTTAAATAAATGATTAATAGCAATCATCCTTTTGCTCATCCAGGACACATGACAATTAAAAATTTAATTAGCTCTATAATGCATGCTGAACTTTTTCAGGATATTTAAAAAGAATACACATTTAGAAGGAAGCCTGCAATATCAAATAACCATCAAGTCACAGAAACAGTTTTTGCTTCATATTATTAAATTTTATGATGTTTTTCCCTCACATGTCAGTAACAAGCTGGTACGTTCCACTTGTGGAAAATTTTGGTCTGATCCTGACCAAATGAAATCTGGCCCATCGGGACCAGACTTTGTTACACTTTCTTGTAGTGGTTTGTATAGTAAACCACAGGCTAAGCTAGGTTGTCTGGGGTCCCAACCTTTACTACTGGCCATTGATCTAGAAAGTCCCTTCACTTCTCTGTCCCTCTGTTACCTTGCCTATCAAACCAGATAGCAAATTCTTTCAAAGGAAGGCCTTTAGAGTTTGCTCATTAAATACTAAAGGCCTGTTATTTTTGACCCTCAAAGGTTTACATGTACAATGTTGTAACTAATTAAAGGATGAGATTATAATCAGCAGAAGGTGAGAGCCTTATTTAATAGCCAAGAATGTTCATAAACTGACCGTTTTTAAGTAGTGAATATGTAAGACTACTGTAATTCTCTTCCTCTTTTTTTGTTTATTAACCCATTTTACACGGGAGTGGTATCACTGACTTTCTGCTGGGGTCCGTTTTAAGAGGCAGACTGGCTTTAATAGGGAGCACTGTGAAGCCCTCTCCCTACAAGCTGTGGCAATAGGTTTTTACCTAGTGCCACATTAAGGTATTAAATTGGGCAAATGAAACATAGAAATTCAATAATATCTCATTTTAGCAGATGTTTACGTAGTTTTCTAGATATGTTTTGTTAGTGTTTTCAAGTGTTTTGAAAACAAACTGTTAGTGATGTGTCATGTTAAATTAATTTTTTTCTTTGATGTCTTTATTTACCTATTTTAGGGCAGTGGTCCATATCCAGGTAAAGGATGTCAATGAGTTTTCACCAGCTTTCAAGGAGAGTGTGTATAAGGCCACCGTGACAGAGGGAAAGATCTATGACAGCATACTGCAGGTAGAAGCCATAGACGAGGACTGTTCCCCACAGTATAGCCAGATCTGCAATTATGAAATTGTCACAACTGATGTTCCTTTTGCCATTGACAGAAATGGTGAGTATGGAGAAGGAATGATTGTAAGTTCTGGGACAGATAGCAGTAATTTCTGTAGATAGTGTAATTACCTGTTGATACTAGCTGATGACCTGGCTCGAGTTTTAACTCAAGAGGGTAATCCTGTTCTCATCTCTGAGAATGAAGGAACTGTTACGCTGGGAAATACCATCCTTTTACCTAAGATTTGGTCACAAAGTGCCACAGTAATTTACTGTGGAAATTAAAACCCCAATTTTAGATGAGCAATATGTTTCTCTGTCCCTCAGCCCATTCTCTTAATTATCTCAGATCTAGTTTCCAGTCCAAGTGATGGCATTTCCTAATGCAGCATGTAGCCCTGCCTAGTAGGGTTTATTCACTGGTTTATCGCTAATGCCATTCTTCTGAACTTTCTGGAGCAGGATCTAAATTGACAATATTCTGGATATGTTTATTGATTGTTAAAACTTCCAGGATGTGTGTCCACGGACCTACCCATCTGTGGTGCTTTCTGAAGCAGATCCATTATTCTGCACTATGGAAGAAAGTATGCTTTGGAGAAGTATAATTTTTTATGTTTTTTGATTTTAGTTGTTTTTCTAATGTATATAATATTAGGAAAAATAATAAACCATATTAAGTTTTCCATATGCAGCAATTTTTGACCTTGGTGGCCCTGTCTGTCAGCTTCCTGCTTTTCCCAGTCAAGTTCTTACCAGGGAAAAGCACACAACTTGACACTTGAGTTTGGGAGAGGTGGCTGGTCTGCATTAAAAATGTGTTGAAGATCCTCCCTGCCATTCTCTGCTTGCTTCAGACAGTACAAAATAGTAGCTCTTTCAAGTACTTCAGCAGTCCCATTTGTGCAGAAGTTCAAAATGGAAATGCCTGTGCCCACAGAACTTGTTTCCCCAGAAAAAGCATGCCCAGCAATGCTCTGATTTATCTTTCGTAACAGAAGCATTTAGTCTATGTTGTATGTAGGAGGAGAATACTGTTTGGAAGTTAAATCTGATTTTTGTCCAAATTGGACATTGAAAGCATGCATGGAGCTACTGTTTCCTCTAAGCAGTCATCTTCGTGTTGGGATGTTTTATAAAAACCCTTTTCGGTATTCAAAAATTACTCATCTTTATTTGTGCAGTTCTTGCACAATGCACAGCTGAGCATCAAAAGATAATAACTTCTTAGCATCAATAAATTGTAAATGACATTGGGGAAAAAAGCCGTCTTGTTATAATACATTGGGAGGCAAGTATACTGTACAGGAGGTATAATCATGATGAGTATGTTTGTGTTTAAGTAAATGAGGTCAGCTAGCACAGTAATCTTTTGCCAGAGCAATCACACAAAGGATTTTTTACAGGAAGTGGGCATTTAGAAGTAGATGTTTGTGTGCAATTCCCTAGAAGCTTTTTCTCTCTATGGATTTTTTTCTAATTGTGAGATTTCCCATGTTGTCATAAAGGAAGTTCTCCATGTTTCTGTTTGAAACCATTATTTTTCCAGAGCTCTACGTGACTTGCCAGTATGGAGTTGGTTACTTACACAAGTCACAGGTGGTTTCATAATTTCATACCAGGTTTGTGACAGATATCATGGATAAATAATACACTGAGATTAGCATGATACAGAGCAGGCATTTCTGTTGCTTATGCCTTTTCAGCTCCTATCACACAGTGCAGCTGGCTCATGAGTGATCATGGGTTTCTTACAGTCAGAGGCATGATCAAAAGCATGTGAAGTGTCAGGAATCTTTGGTTACATCTTTGTCCTCGTGTGCCTGGGACCTGGTTTTCAGCAAAGGCAATGAGAAAATCATTGATTTAAACATGTCTTTAAAGCCTGCAGTGAATAATTGGTATAAGGTTGTAATACTTGCAGTTTTTTGGTCATGAATTCAATTAATATTTTTTGATCTATTTGTTCACTAAAAGAACAGTGCTGCCATAGTCAACAGTAATTGCAGTCTAATTTGCAATTTTTTTAGATAATGGTAATTGCTTAAACCCACTGGGATTAGAGACAGAGTTAGAATAGATGGTTGCACTTTGTTTTGTGACAGAAATATGTTGCTTAGTTCCAACACATTTCACTGCTGAGAATGTCTCTCTATGCCAGCTGATATAAAATTTCTCTGGTGTAAATTCTTTGGCATTGTACCCATTTTTGTTACCTATAGGATGATTAAAATAGATGTATGAGATGCCTGGCACTGTCTGTTAATACTGTGCTAATTAAGATTTTGTTTATAGGGTTTTTTTACCCGTTTTGAAAAACAAATCTATGTTCTTGCGTCTTCTGCAAGTTATGATTTTTTTTCTGCTTTTCAGTAACATAAGCGTGGAATTTCATTGCCCAGAAAGAGTATTTAACCAGATGCTTAGAATCAAATACTGCAGAGGGCCCCAAAACGGGGTGTGTGTGAGGAAAACATGCCATTATCAGTCCCAGATGGTGGATTTTTTTCACCACCAACCTATGAAACTAACCACAAACACAGGCCTTTAGAAAGATGAACATGCTATTCTATCAGCTTTTTTGTTTTGGCAGATCATTGTCTTTTTAGGTAAAACTTATTTATTGTATCTAGATTAATCCAGGGAGCATTTTGTTGTCATGAAAAATTATATTACACATTGGGGAACGTTTGCAGAAAGGAAGAGAGAACCCTCCGTACTGTAGCAGTGCACAGTCTACTTCACATCACCAAATTGTGTGAGGCATAAGTGGACAGGCACCCAGCGCTGGCACAAGAAGCAGCATTCAGCTCTGGTGTAGTTCTTGTAGATCTTTGTAAGTTAGGCACCTAAAGGTAGGTAATATAAAGCTTCCCATTCACATTTGGCAACTTTGACCCTTGGTTTGTAATTTCTTTGTGAAAAAAATTACGTTCCGTTATGAAAACATAACACTAATAAAATTGACTCTTTTATATGGTGAGCCTAACTTGGAAGGTAATGAACTCTTGGTCATAAAATACAATCATGTAAAGGCAAAGGACAAATTTGTGCTTTGCTATGCAAAGAACTGGGACTAAAGGTATAAGATATAATATGTTTAAGAGACTTTTGCATGCAGTTTAGTCTAGTTGTCTTCTTAGCAGAGAATCCCGATCATCAAGTCAGTTATCATATCAATATTGTGTAGGCTTTTTTCAGGTAACAGACAAATTAAACCACAATGCACGGATCTGTTGTAATGCCAGCAGAACAACATTTTTATGCATTTTCTGCCTTCATTTTCAGGGATCATGGTCAGATGATCAGAGAATTCAGATGTAGATACAAATTTTGTCATGGCTCTGACCTACTTTCATCTCTAAAAGGGGGATAACTATATTTGCCACCCACTACTGGGAAGCACTTCACAAATACATGTTCAGATTGTTCAATATGAAGATGAGTTACTGACTTATCTGTCCAGTCAGTACAGGTTCTATCAAGTTACATATCTTAGGATATGTGGACAGGATCTCACAAGGTCATACTTTACAGCACTGAGATCTGCGTTAGGAGCTATGCAAACTTCACCTTGTCAGAAAAGTAGTGAAACTTTATAGTTAAGCATTTGCATGTGATTTCTATTTATTTATTAAACCACAATTTCTTTCCATTCTCATTGAAAAGTGCACCTTTTTGACAAGAAGCAATTCTAATCCTTCAATTGACTTACATTCAAGTACGGCTCCTGGTGGCTTTTGGCAGCTGGGAATGTTGAGCTGCCACTCCTATGAGCAGACTGAAGTCAGAGGCCACTCATGCAATGACGCTAGCCCTCATCTCTTGTACAAGTTAGGAGATTCAGTTTTGTACTTCTTATACACACAGGAAGTGTGGAATTTAAGAGGGAATTGCCATAGTAAAATAGTCAAGTCTTTCCCTCTTCTTGTGACTGCTCCAAAATAAGATGAAAGACATAAAAGAGAGAAGTCTGTATCAAACTATCCCCAAAATTGACCCAAAAAAACCAGAGGTGTAAATGTGTGTGTCCTCAGGCTGGAATTTTTATATTCCTGTTGTCTTACCTGTTTTTTGTTTTTTAAATTTGTTACAGTTCTGGGTATTTCCAGGAAAAGGCAAAGATTTATAAGGACTGAAAGAAAAAAATTTATAGCTTAATTGTGAATTGTGTGGAAAAGTACTTACTTCTCCCATTAAAATTTTCTTTTTTTAATGTTATTGATTACCTTTATGTTTATGGGCGAGATGTAAATAGAAATTCTCAGTCTATTGTCTCTAAAACTTTAATTAGTCTGTATTTATAGTGCTTCCCTTCTGTGTCTACTTTTTAATCATCTTGATTAAATTGTAAAATAACAAAGAAGCATAAAGCATCAGAGGTAACAGAAAAATAGAATAATTAGGAAATCAATAAACTATCGGGTAACATCTGCAAGACATCCAATTGACCTTCCAGAATAACACCTAATAGTCAGAATCTTTGTAGTCCAAATCTTAAAAGACCATAATGAAACACAAATCTTGGAAGACAGATTTAGTGAAATGCAAATACGTTGTAATGATTTATAAATCTTAGAGGACTGTTAATGTGCCACACAAATTCTAGCAGCCTGCTAATGTAGATTCAGACAATTTTGGTTTCTTGAGAATTATCTCCGCTGATCATGGACTAAAGTAATACCAAGGAGAACCAAATAGGGAAGTATAAAGATTCATGTAAAAAATAACATAATGCAGAAAGGAAAGAACAGCTGAGCAGGTATTAAATGAATAATTAAGTATACAGTGGCAGTTTTTCATTAAATCCTCTTAAGCAGATACTTATCAAGCAACTCAAGATAGTAAAATGGGTAGATTAAATTGTTTTGCCAATTACTAACTCAAAAATAATGAAGTAGCTGATATGGTTATTGCAGTTGCTTTTGTGATGGGAAGAGCTATCTGCATGGCAGACTTGAAAATACCTGGCAAGTTGAGGTGCCTGACAGAGAGAACCAAGGAAGCTGTAGGACACAGTACTGTTTCTGTCTTAGCCTTCAGCAGGTCATTCGGCTTCTCCATTTGAGACTTAAAAAAGTGGTAGGGCTTGTCGCGCTCTGTGCCCTGCTCAGAAAGGGAATGGTAAAGACTCAAAGTCAACAGAAAAAAAGGTATTGGGCCTGATTTATAGCTGCAGATGTAAGGGTCTATTTAAACTACAAATTTTGAACTAGAAGACAGTAATAATTGCAAAAGCAGCCTTCCTTCAGGCCTGACCTGCAAAGTTTTGCATCAGTTTCAATTAAACTGCTAAAGGTAGCTTTAATGTAGTAGTAGTCGTCAGAAAAGTGTTGGGCTCTGACAAGATAAGGAGTGTACATCAGAGAGAGACACCTGCTAAAAGTCTTTATTTGTCAAACTAATGGAGGTTTAGTGAAAGACTTACTTAAAAGTTTCATTTGTCTGCTTTCGCCTGTGTCTCATTCATTTGAATGAAAAAAAAAAAGCCAACCCACACTCAAAACTCCAAACAATGCCAGCATGCCTAACACAGACACTTTGACCAGCACCTATGGGAAACAGATCACTATTTGACTAAATTCCAGGATTTGAGTGCTCCCCATTCCAAATTTAGCCCAAACAACTTGATTTTGCAGATCCATGCTTGAAAGCAGTTATGTGTAGCATTGATCCCGAGTAAGTTTGTTTCTTGAATTCTAGAACAAACATTCTCATTCATAGTAATGGTATAACAAACAGCCCTGAGCAAAAGTGTGAAACATATTAAATGGTCTCAAGTTTCAGTCTGAGCAAGAAGTGCATTTCAGTGGAAATGGACAGAATTAAAAAGCTGAACTCATTAATTACAAAAAACATACATTCTGCACGGTAATCTTCTGTATTACTGTGTACTCTGAGAAGTACTCTGAGAAAGATCTTTCCCTTTCCTTGTGAAAGTTGTAATGTCTTTGTTCCCAAAACAGGTAATTTGTCACCTTTTTTTTTTCAGCAGATAATCTCTGCTGTTGCTGAGTTTTATTTTCCATGTGATAACTCTGTGCTGTCATATCAAATACTGCTAAGCGCTCTAATGTAGAAGGTGATTCTGGGTTTTTTCCTATTTTTAAAACCCAGGGAAAGGTGTTAAAGGGCTAAAAATCTCTCTCACCTAAAGGGTAATAGCTTTAGGGGAAAAAAGGAAGATACTTGGGCTGGGGAGATGTTCAACAGTGGATCTCAGGAATGTCGCTGCCATGTTAAAGCAGTGTATTCTGGGAAGATGTGGAAAATGAGTTTGCAGCTACTCATTTTGAGATGTAACTGCTAATTAGTCTTACAGTCTTACTTTAGAAAGTTGTTGAGCAGATGTTTTCTAATATAGACACGCCCATGTTATATCCCTAGCATCTTATATTTGCCTAAGAGCTTACTTATTTCTCTGCTGGATTGAAAGAAAATACTTCCAATTTCTCATAACTGTCCTGCCTGTGGATGTCCCATGTGCTTCAAAGAGCTTTCTGGTCACAAAGGACTTAATCAGGACCCAAATGTTATAGTCTGTATATGCTTAGCTAAGGAGTAATTTCTGAATGTTATCTTATATTGAATCTATAGGTAACATCAGAAACACTGAGAAACTGAACTATGATAAGCAGCACCAGTATGAGATAATGGTAACAGCTTTTGACTGTGGGCAAAAACATGCAACAGAAGATGTCTTAGTACGAGTTAATGTCAAACCAGTGTGCAAACCAGGCTGGCAAGGTAAGGTTTAATAGTTTATATATTTTAATTTTTTGTTTAAATCTCTTTTCTCTGGTGTTTTCCCTCCACCTCACAGTAAGGAAACTAGGGTGCTTATTGCAGTGGTATAGAAAACTGTTGCTGTTTCTTATGCTTACTTCATTCCAAGCCTGTTAAAAAAGTGGATAATAATCCCATACTTGTTTATATTTGCCATGTTTCTTCTCTAATCAGAACAAAGAACAGGTGAGAAAAAAGAAGACAGACAAATTTCTATTCTAATAAGCTATTTTATGATTCAGTCTGAACATACTGAAAGGTTAAAAAAATGCTTCTGATTTACCTTTCTCTTACTACTCCTTTAAATAAAACTTTTTAAACCATCATGACAAGGTAGTTTTCCCATGTGGGCCAGAGTTGTTCGGATTATCTTGTTCCAGGTACAGAATTGGCTTTCACATGCATGCATGCATCAAGGCACGCTCAACCGGCAGTGGGAGTGAAAGGCATTTTTTTATCCTGATTACTATCTTCATATTGAGTCAGGAATTGATTTTCTAAAAAGGTTGTAAGGATCTACAGTCTACTCTGTCTAAAATGGAGAAAAACCCAGCTGGTAATGTATTAGGAAGATAGATATGCCACAAATTATAAGGAATTAAGATGAAAATGAGGGCTGGATTAGGGACAAACCAACTGGGTGTAACCACATTATGCAGATGTCATTCAGGACTAACCTGACCTTCATAATTATAATTTTTCAAGAGAGTGATCGAGAAGGAAAAAAATCAGTTTGGCTGTTGTACTTGAAGGTAGATTTGCAGACTGACATTTAGAAGGAAAAAAAGTTTTCTTTGTAAAACGAGAAGCCCTGATCTAGAGGACCTTGTAATGAAATAAGTGTGGAATATCATGATTCTGTTTTCCACAGTCCTCACTTAGAGCAGAACCACATTTTAATTTTTCAGGGATGTACTAGTTCCCCACCCACCCAAGTATTTTGAACAGCATTTTTATTTAAAAAAAAAAGATAGAATATCTGTGAACTATTTCCACATTTTCTAACTGATCTTATTGTTCAAAACCCCATGATTTATTCTATAAAACCAATATGGTCTTTTTATACTGTAGAAATGTTCTGTTTCCATTTTATGGAGTCATCTTAAATAAATTAAATACTCTCAAATTCATGGGAATTTGTATTAAAATGGGTGCAATTGTTGATTTTCTTTAATTTCTTACTTCCATTTAGGTATGTTATTGATTGAATAATTTTTGCAAAGATACCTTACTAATGGTGTGTTTATATTGCCCAATATTGTCATACTTATTTCATAGTTCAAGCATCAATTATAGGACAGATGATCATTGCTGGTCCCATCAGGTGGGTATAGACACCAGGTAGCCAATAAAAGTAATAGAAACAACCTCAAATAGGGTTTGTGGGGTTTTCTTTGATGCTTTGTTCATCTTAGATTATGTGAAGTGTTTACAAGGTATTTAAGTTTTTAATGAAAAGCTGGAATTCAGTTATTGTTATTTTACGCATGCAAAATTTATTTTCTTCTCTTCTAGAAGTCAGAGCTGTATGTGGCTGATGGTTTGGTTAACACTAGGTATTTAATATGAGAGGCTGCCAGCTTGTTGTTTTTAGTGTGATGGTGAGAAAATAGACAGAGAAAACAGCATATATAAAGCAACAACTCTTAAAAGAATGCAATACATACGAAAGTTTAAAGCAGCTTGTCTAAAGCATCTTAGATAGGAAAGGATCTGCTTTGATAGCATTCATTATGCTTGAATTTGGGCTTTTTGTTTGTTTGTGTAGCAATTTGGCACAAATACTCTTTCTCCCATCTGATCTGATAAAGTTTTATGATGGGTTCTTTATCATAGGCAAGGTAAAAATATGAAATAGCTCAATATGTTCTGCTCTAGCATATTCCATGCCATCCATGTGGAATTGTACTTTCCATCTGTCAAACAGGTGACTGCTTCACTTCATTGGCATGTCTCCAGGTCAAATGGCACAAAGTGCAAGTGGATAGTGTTTGCCTATTCAGAGTATGAGGTCTTTAGGTAAACAATTCGGTAGATATAACTTTAGTTCTTAATTACAAAGTCATTAATTATAATTTGAAAGTGAGCTGCAACATAATACTTCCAGAAATTTCTACATTTCTCTTAATGAGATCTTTTTATGCCTACTTATTTTTAAAGGTGAAGATAATCACGTAGGTGATGTTGTTTTCCACTTTGAGCCAATATCTGTAAAAATTAACTGTTGCTAGGAAAAACACTAATCAAATAAGCAAAACTTACTAATAGCATTTCCAGTACATAAGGAGGTAATCTGGAGACTGGAAATGGAGGATGCTTACAGTGTTCTTTCTTCTCTGGGTCTGGCACTCTGTGACCTCCCTACAAAGAGGCAGCCAGCAGGTATGCTCCATCTTCTTTGAAATAATATGTTTAAAAAGATTGGATGACTAAGGGAGGCAATAATGCTTTGCTTGACAGAAAAGATGAATATGCTGAGCCTTTGGTTATAATATAGAAGTTGCCAAAATACGATCTATGATTTTTTTCTTGTTCTTCAGTGTTAGCTTGAACAAATAAATACTTGGAATTTCAATTTATAGCATTGGCAGTTAGTACTTGAAAGTTACTGGCTTTAGTAGTCTGAAATATTGTGCAGTTCTTTCTGTGACCATCACGAATAGAGATTGTAGTAGTCTAATGCAAATTCAGTGTTAAAAATTTCAATTCAGTAAATTTCAGTGCAGATGCCCTTCAAATAATCTCCATTGTGCAGGGGTGGGACAAGGAAGAGTAGGTTTACATAAAACAATGTGCAAAATTATTCCTGTTTCTAGAGGCCGACTCCACAACTGACATGTATAGCAAAGCAAATAAGACTGAACAAGCGAAGGTGCTATTCTTTAAACAATATTCTCTTGGGCTAACAGCATTCAAGTCTTTATTAAATCTAAGAGCTACTTCATTACTCTTTGAAGATGGACATTAATATACAATCAAGAAGCATTCCCACATAGACATTTTCAGCAAACAACAAGCCTCCTCTCTATTAAGAGGTTACTTTAGAAACAAACTTGAGCCAAACTGACATCAAACCATTCTGAGCAGACCACTCTGAAATGTTATTAGTATCCTAAGGAAGCTAAAACTGTAAATCAATTAACTGAATTAATTCCTATTCGGTTATTTTAATTGGAAATTCTCATTAGTGAGTTTTGTCAACTGACATTTACAGCTATGCTACAAACTCTCTTCATGCTATCTGTGTTAATTTCCATGATTTTCAAACAGTGGAGTGATCACTTACTGCCAGGTAAGTAGAGAGACTACATTATAAAGAAAAGCTAGATGACAGTATTTCTGACACCATAATGGGTAGATTTGCAGTTGAAATTGTTTCTGGTTTTTGTTTAAAATTTTTTTTAAACACAATTAGTGCATTTCCATACTAAGGAAAACCCTATTATCTGCAGCACATCCCTGGGGTTCTGTCCATCGTCCAGGGCTCTGCCTTTGTTTCAGCTCTCTGGACACAGAGCAGACACTACGCTTTCCTGTAGATTCATTTCTGGTGTGGTCCTTTTCACTACAGTAGTTTTAATGTCACAAATACTGATTTCTGTAAAGTTACTTCTGCCTTATTCAAAGCAGGGTAGACAGACTTGTGGCAACACAGTACTAAATATCCATATAGTATTTTCATTAAAAAACATGAAGTGAAATAAGAAAGAGCCAAAAACCTGTAATCTGGACCATGTTTCCTGTAGCCCATTTATGGCACCATAATATTGTCTTTTCTCATTTCTGCTACTTTTAGGAACAGTCTTCATAAAACTGAAAAAGTTACTGTCCCCCCTAGTGGGATAAGAAATGGAAATAAAATATAAAACAATATAAAAAATATCTGTGTAAGATAGCAGAAAGCTGAAAACGATTATTCCTGTACCAAGCTCTCTGGTGAATGATGTACTACATGGGGAGAAAATAAAGAGGAGTTTAGCCTCAAAAAAATGAAGGGCAGAATCATGTTCCCAAAATCTGAAAATATGTTTTGAGACTGCTAGAGGTCTGCTCAACTATTAACAATTAAACCAAAAGTCAGGTTGTTCCCTAAAATGCGATTGATTTCAAACAGGAAGCAGTTATTAAGTCATGAAACAAAAAAGCTCCTCTAAACCAATCAGCTGAATGCCCCAATAAAGTATCATAGGACTCTGCCTTTCCTGAAACAGAGAAGGTTGAATATGTTTCTTGGGGAGGTAAGTATGTAGCAAAGACAACAGTCCAAATATTAAAAGTCACATTGTCTCCTCTGACCAAACAGGACTTTTTTTTTTTTCTGCCAAATTTAATGTGGCCCTCACATAAGCAATGCTCAGTAACCTCCAATTTAAGAGAAAATTAGGACTGATTAGAAAACAGGATTTCACAGCATCCAGCCAGAAGGGTTTTACTAATTTGAAAAAATTTCCTACACTTATCTTCAAGTCCTATGAACCTATATACACACTTAACCTAATTATCTGGGGTAATAATATAAAGTAGAAGTTCCTTAAAAAAAATAAGATGTTCCTTAAAAATTCAATTATTTTCCACTTAGTGTTTGCTTAAAAATAATTTTGAAATAAAAGTTTCTCTTTATTTACCTAATAGACTATAAAAATATTTAACAAGAGTAGTTAATGTATCAAAGATATTGCATGTTACTTCTTTTTTAAGACATGTAGGGCTCACTAAGGTGACCTAGGGCTTTGCTACCACCAAAAGGCACATTCTTACCACCTCTTTAATACTGAATAGTCATTCAGAGGACATGTACAGGTCAGATCAGCT